GGGGGGGGGGCTCGCTGCTGCCGCTGCCCCCGGGCTGATCTCCTTCCCTCCCGGCCTCCCCCAAATCAGGGTGATCCTCCTTCCTCCCCTCACCCTCCCGCATCTGCCTTGCGCCCCAGCCCAGGATAACTCCAGCCACGCATGCAGGGGCTACACTGGTGCCCCGACCCCAAAGACACCCTCACGCGATATCCCAGCCTCCTCCCCTCTCTTCCCCAAACCAGCGCCAAGGGCTGGGCCGTGCGGCCAGCAGAGGCTGTGCCTTGCAAGTTACAGCGCTAGGGCGGCAGCGGCTGTGCTCTCCGCTAGGGGGTGCCACGCCTTGCTGCCCCTGCCGGGCTAAATGGCTTTGACTGGGGAGGACCCTCGGCCCTACTCACGCTGCTGTTCTCGCCAGTCCAGTGCACCATCGCCTGGTTGTGGGACGCGTCCCCTTTGAGCACGAAGGAGGTGCTGATCAGCGAGACCTGCTCCCTGGCCGGACGGGAGGAAGCGGAGGATGCTCTCTTGGAGCGACTCCCTGCAGCAGCAGCAGCCCCTGCTCCGTCGCCAGCGCGCCCCAGCTCACTAGCCTCCTCCCCGCCGCCGCGGATCAGCAGTCCCCGCGGGCTCCTTCTTGCCCGGGTTACCCAGCTGGAGCCAGGGCCGCCCCACGGCTCCGAGGGGCGCGCAGCCCAGCAGGCACCGAGCAGCAGCAGCAGCAGCGCCAGGCTAGGGGCCGTCCTGGGGAGGGTCCCCGCTGGAGACACGCGTGGCCCCCTTTGCGCCATGCTCGCCTTCGGATGCGATAGTGACAGGCTGGGATGTGAATGTGAGACAGATACACAGCCTCCGGAGGGGGAGGGCGGGGAGGGAGGCAGGGTTTGTAACCAAAGCGAGGGTTTACACTGGCAACAACGTGCTCGGGACTCCGCTCCCAGCCAAGGAGAGGCGCCGCCATCTGCTGGCTTCTCTCTGAAGCCCAAGGCAGCAGGAAAGAAGCAGAGCCCGGCACAGCCGCACATAACGCATTGGGGAAGCAGCGACCCATTCACCCACAGACGCCCTGTGCGATCACCCGTGGGCTTGGGTGTGGTACAGCTCCCCGCTGCAAATAATGGGCGTCTGGCGGACAGGCGCAGCACTGCTGTGTTAGCTCCTGGCTTGTAAAATCTAAACTCCTGCGGTTCTTGAATGTTCTTTGTTCACTTCTGGTCGGTATGCATGGACCAGGCACCCTCCCCGCTCTCCCAGATGACTTGGGTGCAGCCTCCGTCTTGTCTTTTGGCGAGTAGAATATTTGGTCACATGAAGTATCCTTCTTGTGTGACCCGTGCTCAGACTTACACACTGTAAGTGCTTGATAAATAATGGTGGGTACATATATATTATCTACACGGCACACACACAAATCACGTTAAAAGAACACTGGGGTTGCGAAGTAGAGCACACAAAAGTTAGGAATTGCCAGAATTAAGGCTGTGTGTGGAATCTTAATTCCACCACCTTGCATTGTAGTACAAATGATTTAATTACATTATATATTTCTCCATGGGACTCCCTAACTCAGTCAGTGCACTGCACAGGTGCTCAATTCTGGAACAATTATTCAGTTTTTGTATCCTTGCTGTCCAGTGGCTGGCCTTAGACCTCATTTATAACATACTATTCAAACCCTGAAGAAATAATGATTTCCTTCAGGGTTTTCCCTGCACTGCATCTCTGTAGTATTGGAGTGCTTCATAAAAGTTACATCTTCACAATAGCCACATGATGGGACATGGTGGTATTACCTCCCCTTTTACAGATGGGAAACTGGGTCAAAGATAGATTGTAGTCAAAAGTATCCATTAATTTTAAGTACCCACCTTCAGACATGAGGATGTTATTTTTTAGAACATTGCTCATTATACAGCACTTTATGTAACCAAACTCAGCTCCAAGCAACTTCAGTGATCACTGAATGTCAAGACTTCTTCTGCCTTTGAGCAACTGTTCTCAGTTGAGTCCCCACCACCACTCCATTCTCCATTCATCAGACTCTTTGTCCCAGTCTATTCCTTCCTCTTGTGCTGGCCTGGCTTTCATTCAAATGCAAACTGAGTGGGGCAACTTCCTCTTCTACATTAGCTTGTGCGGGCAAGGGGCACTTCTACAATGGGCTCAGCAAATGTGGAGTGGTGGTTGAATGTGCCTTTGTTCTCTTGAAGAGTTGCTGGCGCAGTTGTTTACTTGGTTAGATCTCATGGTCATAGCTGCCTGCTGTATGTGGCAGAATCAGGGTGACCATTTCATTCATTGGGCATGTCTTCTCCATGCTCCACACATGCTTCTGCCGGGAGTACATAGAAGGTAGTGAATCTTCTGTGGGGAGAAGAGGCTGTCCAGGCACAGCTCATTTCAAGCTGTAGAAATGTGTTTCTAGAAAGCCAAGTTCCCTAACTTTCTGAGTCATTGAGAATTCACACAATAAACTGAAAAATAAACCACCTCTGGAATGTAAATCAAGAGGATTTCAAAGCAAACTCAACTAGATGGCTCAGGCAATTCCCATTTCCCTCCGTCCCTCACCATGGCATTTGAATGCACTGATATATATGTATCAGCATTAAAATACCTACTGTGTACTTGCCATTAACAGATTCCCTTCATCTCCAACTCAGAAGTGGCCAAGGATTGAAAAGACATGAAAACTGATTTTTTTTCTTTCACCTTTGGAGAGATAGTAATGTTTAAGGCTGAAAGGGGAATGATGTTATGGAAGAAGCCTGTACTGAACATAAGAACAGCCATATTGGGTCATACCAAACGTCCATCTAGCCCAGAATCCTGTATGCCAACAGTGGCCAATACCAGATACCCCAGAGGGAGGGAACACAACAGGTAATCATCACGTGATCCTTCTCCTGTCACCCATTTACAGACAAACAGAGGCCAGGGACACCATTCCTACCCATCCTGGCTATAGCCATTGATGGACCTAACCTCCATGAATCTATCTAGCTTTTTTTAGAACCCTATTAAAGTCCTAGCCTTCACCACATCCTCTGGCAAAGAGTTCCACAGGTTGACTGTGCGCTGAGTGAAGAAAAACTTCCTTTTGTTTTAAACCTGTTGCCCATTAATTTCATTTGGTGACCCCTAGATCTTATATTGTGGGAATAAGTAAATAACTTTTCCTTATCACTTTTTCCCTCCATCATCCCGTCATATCCTCCCTCTCTTCTAAACTGAAAAGTCCAGGTCTTTTTAATCTCTCTTTGTATGGAACCATTCCAAACCCCTGATAATTTTTGTTGCCTTTTTCTGAACCTTTTCCAGTGCCAATATATCTTTTTTGAGAGGAGACAACCACATCTGTACACAGTATTCAAGATGGGGACGTAGCATGGGTTTATATACAGGCAATAAGATATTTTCTGTCTTATTCTCTATCCCTTTTTAAATGATTCCTAACATTCTATTTGCTTTTTTGACTGCCGCTGCACACTGAGCGGATGTTTTCAGAAAACCCGAATGACTCCAAGATCTCTCTCTTGAGTAGTTGTAGTTAAATTAGTCCTCATTGTATAGTCCAACCTGTTCTTAAATATCTCCAGTGATGGAGATTCCACAACCTTCCTAGGCAATTGATTCCAGTGTTTTACCACCCTGACCATTAGGAAGTTTTACCTAATGTCCAACCTAAACCTCCCTGGCTGCAGTTGAAGCCCATTGCTTCTTGTCCTGTCATCAGAGGCCAAGGAGAACAATTCTCCCCCCCTCCTCCCTGTGACACCCTTTTTAGATACCTGAAAACCGCTCTCATGTCTCCTCTCAGTCTTCTCTTTTCCAAACTAAATAAGCCCAATTCTTTCAATTCCTGCAGCCTTGCCTCATAGCTCATGTTTTCTCGACCTTTAATCAATTTTGTTGCTTTTCTCTGGACCATCTCCAATTTCTCCACATCTTTCTTGAAATGTGGCGCCCAGAACTGGACACAGTACACCAGCTGAGGCCAAACTAGCGCAGAGTAGAGCGGCAATCCATGATAGGTCCTCTTGTCAAAGGCTTTCTGGAAATCTAAGTATACTATATCCACTGGATCACCCTTGTCTACATGTTTGTTTACCCCCTCCAAGAATTCTAGTAGATTAGTAAGGCATGATTTCCCTTTACAGAAACCATGTTCATTTTTCCCCAACAAATTATGATCATCTATGTGTCTGACAATTTTATTCTTTACTATAGTTTCAACTACTTACATTAGACTTACAGGTCTAATTGCCAGGATCACCTCTAGGAGCCCTTTTAAAATATTGGCGTCACTTTAGCTATCTTCCAGTCATTAGGTATGGAAGCTGATTTAAAGGATAGGTTACAAACCACAGTTAATAGTTCCACAATTTCACATTTGACTTCTGACATAACACAGGCATAACACAAACTCATTGGTTAATTATAGGGGACTTCTATCAAGCCAGAAAACAAATAAGCAATCAAATCAGCTTTTAAAAGTGTTTCACATTATTAAACAAAGATAAAATGACATGCTTTGTATATAAATAATTCACAATGATGAAAGGTTTGTGACTCTGCATAATAGGGAAATAATCATAGAATCATAGAATAATAGGACTGGAAGGGACATCGAGAGGTCATAGAGTCCAGCCCCCCGCCCTCAAGGCAGGATCAAGCTCCGTCTACACCATCCCTGACAGATGTCTATCTAACCTGTTCTTAAATATCTCCAGAGAGGGAGATTCCACCACCTCCCTTGGCAATTTATTCCAATATTTGACCACCCTGACAGTTAGGAATTTTTTCCTAATGTCCAATCTAAACCTCCCCTGCTGCACTTTGAGCCCATTACTCCTTGTCCTGTCCTCAGTAACCAAGAGGAACAAATTTTCTCCTTCCTCCTTGGGACACCCTTTTAGATATTTGAAAACCGCTATCATGTCCCCCCTTAATCTTCTTTTTTCCAAACTAAACAAGCCCAGTTCATGAAGCCTGGCTTCATAGGTCATGTTCTCTAAACCTTTAATCATTCTTGTCGCTCTTCTCTGTACCCTTTCCAATTTCTCCACATCTTTCTTGAAATGTGGCACCCAGAACTGGACACAGTACTCCAGCTGAGGCCTAACTAGTGCAGAGTAGAGCGGCAGAATGACTTCACGAGTTTTGCTTACAACACACCTGTTGATACAACCTAGAATCATATTTGCTTTTTTTGCAACAGCATCACACTGTTGACTCATATTCAACTTGTGGTCCACTATGACCCCTAGATCCCTTTCCACCATGCTCCTTCCTAGCCAGTCACTTCCCATCTTGTATGTATGGAACTGATTGTTCCTTCCTAAGTGGAGCACTTTGCATTTCTCTTTATTAAACCTCATCCTGTTTACCTCTGACCATTTCTCTAACTTGCTAAGGTCATTTTGAATTATGTCCCTATCCTCCAAAGAAGTTGCAATCCCACCCAGTTTGGTGTCATCTGCAAACTTAATAAGCGTACTCTCTATCCCAATATCTACATCATTGATGAAGATATTGAACTATACTGTAATATCTGTACTATACTATACAACTTTAGTATATGCCTAATGAGGTTTTTCAGAGCCAGCTAGGGGATATAGCCATCTAACTCTTGTTAATTTCAGAGAGAGTCCTGTAGCTAAATCTTGCACTGATTCTTATTTATGTATATTGCAGCAGCATTTAGAAGCCTGAAAAAGAGTGGACTCACTGCTAGCGCACCTCCTTGTGGCTAGGCATGGCATAACAGCTCTCTCCTGTGTAATGCCCCCCTGTTGACAGTCACTCCAGCAACTGTGCTGTGACTTGGGCATTTAAAGT